AATTGACGCGGTGTTTTCTTGATATTTTAACGCCCTTGATTCGGAAGTATATACAAGTATCATATTTTATCAATCATACCGATATTTTCATGTATTAAAAGAATTAAAAATGAAAATGAGTAAAAAAAAAACAAGTTAGAAAGTCTAAGTTCGGGTGGAGCCGAACATTAAATACCCGGCGCAAGTATTAAATATATGTTTTTCACCTTTCCGAAAGCTACCGCTACATGGTAAGCCACGGTGTATCAATTTTGGGTAAATTAGCGTCCTTAAATTTCAAAATATTGAAGATTCAAGCATTTCTGAAATTTACCGTTATTTGAAAAGCGGCCGTCATTTTAGTCCGAATTCAATAATTTTCAACGTTTTGCTTTTATGTGGCAAGCACTATAACCATACCGAGTTTGGTACAAATTTGTAGAACGGTTACCGAGATGTGATCATAAGTGGGTGGTGCCACGCCCATTTTCCAAAATTTTATCATAAACGTATTGGTAAAGAATTGTTGCAAGCATCAATTTTGAATAAATTAGCTTTAATATTAACTGATTTATCGAAGGTTTCGTATTTCTCTAAATTACCGTTATATGGGATGTGGGCGTGGTTATTGTCCGATTTTAAAAATTTTCGGCCATTTGGTATGCTGTACCAAGGCCAACAATTGTGCCAGGTTTGGAAGAAATTGGTACAGCGGTTACCAAGATATACCAAGTTTCGTTAAGATATCTCAATTTTTACTCGAGTTATCATGTGCACAGACGGACGGACAGACAGTCACCGCTCAATCGATTTCTATTTTCATTCTGATCATTTATGTATACATTTGTCTATATCTATCTCGATTCGTTTTGCCTGTTACAAACATCCGTTATGTGAACAAAGTTTTAATACCCTTGTGCACAAGTGCGCTCGGGTATTAAAATCGCACAAGCTTCAGTTGTCATGGCAACAGTAGCTTTTTATAAAAATCACGAATATTTTTGCCAGTTTCACAGCGATCTAGTAGCGCATTTCAAGGTCATTGAGCACCCTGCATTAGTTGCAGTAGAAAACTGAAAGTTGGTATAGGTATTACAAATATCAAAAGGAAAAAACTAAGGGGGTGCCTCGTTTTCTAGGATGAACATTTTTCCCCATACAAAAATTTGACGACTCTAATGTACAGTGGCGGTCAAAAATGGATGAATGGTGTTCAGTTTTTAATATTAACAGTGTTTTTCAAGCCATATTTTTTTTAAATATTTTTTTATAAAAATATGGGTTATGCTTTAACAAAAACTATATAAATCACACTTTATACAGAACTTGTAAAAATTCCAAAATTTTTTATCTAAATTTCGAGCTTCTTAACCAGAGTTTTTAGAAATTTTTTGGGTATGCAGTTAACAAGCTTATAAAATTCTAGTAAAATGAGTGCAAGTTTTGAGCGGCTATAAAATCGCATTGATTTTTAGTAATTTTTTTTTTTGCTGACGGCTTTTGCACTTTTTTCCATATAAACATGACTTTCTTGTGGAAGAATATAAATGCGTAGAGGCTTCAAAAAAGCTTGTAGGAACTCAATAACAAACTATCAAACTATGTTAAAGCAACAAGTTGAGACACGGTGGAACTCCTATAATGCTGCTCAGCATTCGCGAAATGCGGCAAGCAGTTCAAAAATTATTAATAGAAAGAAATGAGCTTCATAAACTATCTAAAGTAAATTCAAATTTATTGGCTAAAATAAATAAATAAATAAAATCCAACCATCCATGAGCACGTTCTGTGGTACAAAAAACTGCAAAAGCATTGTTGGGCGAATGCATCTGATTCTGAAGTCATTATCGATTTGAATAAAAACACGGCTGTTGCTTTAAATAAAAGATTCCAACCAAGTTCAGTCCAATTTCTGTGATTGTTTTTAAATCCTCCGTTTAAAGAGTTACAGTTTTTATCTGCAGAACAGCGCGAACATAGAATAGGGACGGTAAAGGCAATGCTTGAAGATAACTTAGGTAGAAATGTACTTAAAGAAAAGAGCGCCCTCAGCACGATTTCCAAATTCTGCATGATGACATTCCTTCTACCTCGAAAAGGGCAAAAACCCGTGCACTTTTGACAAATTTAAAGATGCAACAAATGAATCTTCAGAAATGGTTTTTGAAAAAATCAAAACTGGAAATGCAGATTTAATTGAAAAAATTGGAAAACAAAAGTTGTGACGATGTTTTAAAATTTTGGCAGAAAGCTAAAGATTTACCACTTCAAGTCTTTCAAGGCAAATTTTAAAAATAGCAGCTAGCTCAGCAACTAGTGAAAGATTTTTTTCTGTGTCAGGCAAAATTGTGGAAGAATGAATATTGATACCAATTCTTTATTATACTCGTATTAGATATATAAGTATATCTGAAATTTGATAAAATAATAGTAGCGCCTTCAGCCCTTGCTAGGCGTTTGTCCAAGTTTTTGTGAGCTTTTGTACTTGTGTGATAAAAGCCTATTTATATAAATAAAGTTTCAAATTGAAAAATATGTCCGTGAGAAAACGTGCGTGAACGTGATTGAAAAAAATATAGCAGGACGTGAGTGTGCCTGATTTACAAAACCATCAACGTTTGTTTTTGTTGAACGGTTAAAGTTCCTTTTATTTAACCCTCTTATCTGCTAGGCCTGTTTTATGTCCCGAACAAATTTGTTTTGCCATTTTCTATTTCTAATTAGAAACATCATTGTTTTTATTATTTTGTAAAGAACTATAAAGCAGTGAATGTGTGTTTTTAGAACAAATCAGTTAATATAAAAACAAATATTTTTAAAGCAAACTTTCTAAACGAAATTGAACCATAAATACTGTTTTACCAAATATATCGACTCGTGCGCCACTTATCAGTAAATATACGCTTTAAATATAAACCAAATCGGACTATAATTACGGGGTTTTCAAATATCGCGACTCCTGCGCCACCTATCAGATTAACTTATCTTTCGTATTGCATTGTCATCGGATTCTGAGCCAACGGTGAAGTTTCAAGTCTCTAGGTCATCGGGAAGTTGGTCAAAAATGTATTGCAAGACTTGCCCCTAACAAATTTACATACACCCATAAAAGAGATTTCAATACAAGTTTAAGTAAAAATAGGGAACAATATTGCGATAAAGCCAAATTGTCTTAAAACAAAAAAATTTATGTAATTTCTTTGTTTTAAGTAGCAATTTACTTAAATGTAGGAAATTTTTCACTAACAGCCGCACTCAGAATCGTTTATTAAATTAGCTCTAACGGCACTTCACTAATGATCGTTAAATATGTTAATTAATGTTTCCTCTCAGAGTTAAAAATGATGAAACGAAAAATTTAAGTATGGCCCCAGTTGCGGCCCTTTTTTGTAGCATCACTCACTTTTTTTCGTTCAGTTTGAAATCAAATATAACAAGTAATTTTTAGCAAAAAAAAACCGACTTCAACTCCCATATAAAAAAAAAATATATATATATATATCTCATGATCCACTGATCGGATCTCAACCAGATTAGTATGGGACCACCTCTGAGACACTACCTTCCGATGCAAGAATTATCGAAATCGGTTGACGTGGTCCAAAGTTATGCGGCAACATACATAAAAAAAAAAAAAATATTCCGACGAACTGATAACCTCCTCCTTTTTTGGAAGTCGGTTAAAAATAGATATTTATGTATATCATTTTGCGCACATTGCCTTAACAGTCGCATTGGCTGAGTGAGCAGAGCACTGGCGTGCCATTCGAGAGATCCGAGTTCAAGTTCCAGGGAGGAAAATTTTCTTTTTCCTTTTTTATTTATTTTATTTTCTTGTTAAAGTTTTAAAAACTAATTTTATTTAATTTTTTGTTTTTGTGATCTACTAAATTTTCTTTTGATTTGTAGATTTTATTGTGTTAAGAAGGCACCTATTTTTTTTTAATTTCATTTGATTTTAGAAACGGTTTGCTAAAAGACAAACAAAACCACTAACAAGCCAATACTGGCATCTGTCTTTCAACTCACCACAGTCTTTCGAAAGACAAATGTCTTTCTCCGGCAACTATCTTGAAAGCTCTTTTCTGTATTTCGAATGAATAATTAAAAGATCTGCTAACGAGGAGGATAGCGGTATTCTATCTATCGTTTAGCAATAAGTTTTCCAAAAACTAAACAAAATTAAAAAATATTTTATTAAAACAAGAAAAACTAAAAATTGGATAAAATGAAACTAAAAAAAGAATAATCAAAAAAGTGTTCAAACAATAAATAATATAAGAAAATATTTTTTAAGCAACAAAACTTAAAAATTTAAAGAAAAAGGTTATTTAAGGCGGCAATGGAAATATGCCTTCTGACAACCACCAAACCGTAATATTAGAAGATAAATGCGTCACTGAAAATCATGAACGTGAACTGTTGGACCAAAATGTTTCAATACAAAAAATTTATTTTGGGCGGAACGAAGTTCGCCGGGTCTGCTGGTTTTTTATGGTATTTGAGTGATTAGGTTTTTCCATATGAAATTAGTTTTAAAATATGTAATTTATGAAGCTGCATTAAAATAGGTCAGAGGTACGGTAGCTGTGGTACAGGCCGGAAGGTTTTGTTTCCGTCAAATGTTTCTTGGGAGAATTTTTCGTGAATGGCTCCGGTGGTCGCCCTTGAACCGAAGCACTCTGTTTGGGGCTGGGCTGTATGAATGGTCCCAGCCTAAAAGTTAAAAGAAAAAGAGTTTGAGAAGGAGTTTCGCTGAAATGGAATATATTAGGTAACTTGTAAAAACTATAGAAAAAGTTATTTTACAATTTTTAAACTTCTGCACTCGGACACTTGTTAATCTATTAAGTGCGAGAATTGCATGTTGGCTCAGCATGTGGTAAAGTTCATTTCTGTTTCGTCAAAAAATTTTACGTTCGGTCGAACTCTAATGTAGTACATTCTTAGGCATTTATATAGCTTTTTTTGGGCTTTAGCTAGCAACAACTAAATATGCTTTTCTATTTTCTTACTTTCAGATCTTAGCAAGCTGAATACCAAAAGTAGTCATCAAGGAATGCGCGTTGAACCGTTTCTCAGTTTGTAAAGTTGTTGTTAACGTCGTTGATAAAGAATAAATAAAAAGTGCAAATATTTTACAACAAAGTGTGTTGTAAGTCTATAGTGATGTGGATTCTTATTCAAATTAACTGTTTTTGTGCTTTTCGCAGAATTTACACATTGAAAATATTGTAAATACAATAAAAAAATACAACGGCGCTCTACTATGCCACGATTGCTCACTAGCACTCCCGCAACACTTATCTTGATTAAATATTATACTAAGAATAAAGTGGATCACAATACGACAAAAGTAGCCAAGTAGTCAAATCAGCCTATAGTCTACACAAAAAAGTAGTAGATAAAAAAGTAAAGCTTGAGCCAAAGTCGGAAAGTTACAAAGAACAAAAGCCAACAAAACCTAGGCTAGGAAAAGTGTGCAATCGGCAACCAAAAAAAAAAAAAATTTATATTTTTGGCTTTGCTTAAGTGACTTGATTGTGATATGACTACTAAATATCACAAGAATGCATCCAGCGGGCGAAAAAAGGGGTCGCCCCAAAAATAAATATACAGCCGAGGCGCTCGAATCTATTAAACAAGATCTGACGCGATTTCAAGTACAAAGGGATAATGGTGCAGCACAGGTGAGTGCCGTTGGGGTTTCTTAAGTTTATTTCTAATCAAGTTAAGTATTTTTGATATTGAAAAAACATCCTATTGTCTGTTCTTGTATACTACGGACTTCCACATTTTTTGCTATTTATTTCGGGGTTTACCCGATTTGTAAATTTTGGAAATAAGATTTGTAGGTACTGAAATACTCAGAAGGCTAAGTGGTTATTAAAACATATCCGTCGTTCTCGCTATCAAATATCGAATATCTCTTTATTCCGCTAACTACTTATAAAACGGTGTCCACGGCGGTCATGCGTTAAGAGCTGGTCCCATAACTCTGTCACTAATGATATAAACACAAAAAGCCCTATATCTAGTTTACAATAACTTAATTTAATGTTTAGTGCAGGTATACTATATACTTTTACAGTCCGGTGACCAGATTTTTGTAGACAAAAATCGGGGCAGTTCTAAAGCATCGAATCCGAACATAAAATTTTGTTTTTAGAATAAAAATGCATATCACATTTTTTAATATACTTTTATTTAAAACAAAACAAAGAGAGAAACTTGAAAAATGTATGCACATTATATAATACAGCTTATATTTTTCATATCCTAATTTTTTTGAGGAAATTGGTATTATTTTTTATAATATCACTAAATTCAAGTTTGATTAAAAAAAAATAGCTTAACAAATAATTTTAAAAACCTTAAAAATATGAAGCAAGAATGCTAGCCTGCAATATAGCGAGAGTTGCAGTTTGACAGAATAAAACATAACCAAAGATCATAGAAAATAAGGATGCTGGCTATGTTTATGGCTCCCTTATGCTCTATGTTCTTTGTGATAACGAAAGTATGCCACGTTTGTCAGAAAAATGGTTTTTGGGCCAGAGAGCAGGGCGCTCCTATTAAATAAATAAAGAAAACTCTGGAAGTCGGGATTTAATCGTTACAAATATGAAAAAAACGCGACACTTTTCGACTTTTAAAAAAATTTCAGCGGGACAATTTTCTCAAAATCGATACTGTCCCGCCAAATTCGGTACGAATGGTCACCGTATTTTTAGGCCTTTAATATTATGTATTTAAATGGAAGTTTTCATCGGTAAACCCAAAAACCCTATATTTGTATGAATTTTTGTAACTTTGATGATCGTTTATAGCAAAAATCTCAATGAAAGTTGCCAAATATGTGCTATTGTTGTAAAAGTACAGGCGACCAAACTGATGCCTGATCTAAAGTATTTTTGAAAGACAATTTCGATTTGCATTTGCAGCCAGATCTTAAAGTATGATACATAAGTATATATATCGATTTTTTTTTTGTCTCGAGGAGTAAATTTGTTATTCCAATGTTCATTGACTTCAAGCACCCTGTTATAGTACTTACCCACTTTAACTGTAACGGGCTACAGAGCAAGATTGAGGAGATAACCGTCTTTATGTGTCGGCATGGTATATTGATAGCTGCGGTCCAAGAGACGAAGCTGCACAGCAATTCAACATTGTGGAATTGTGCCGGGTACAACGTGCACCGTCGAGATCGCGAGCGAGATAATGGTGGTGGCTTAGCGTTCATCACGCACCACACCGTGCAGTATCGTCTTATCGAAGCAGACATCGACCGCAGGGATACCACCCTAGAATGTTAGGGCATTGCTATCCGGTCAGGCGATGTCGAGCTCGAAATATTTAATATACACATACCCCCTGTCACCTGCTGCCCGGCAGGATATCACCCTGATATAGGTGCGCTCCTCAGAGGTGAAAACCGTATGGTAGTAGGTGACTTTAATGCGCACCACAATCTTTGGCATTCAAGCCTGTCAAACGATCGTAGGGGAACAGAATTGGCTGAGCGGATAGACGATTCTACATTCTGCACAATGAACGACGACGCACCCACCAGGATTATGGGTAACTGCAGCAGCTCGCCAGACATCACCATAGTCAGCGCTGGTCTGATAAACAGCATAACATGGCGACCTATGCTGACTTTAGCATCAGACCATCTACCCATAGTCATCTTGATAGATAAACCAACCGACTTTGCCTCCGCTAAACACCGAACCTATATCAACTTCTCTAAAGCTGATTGGAAAGGTTACGCGGAGTTTACTGAAAACACCTTCACTGCGCTTCCCACACCAACCGACGTCCATCTCGGTGAACGTAAGTTCCGCAGGGCTGTCACTGCTGCTGCAGCTCGCTTCATACCGGCAGGATGTATTACGGACCCACGTCCAAACTTCCCTGCCGAAGCGGCTGTTCTAGCCGATGAGCGCGACAGCTTTCGTCAGGCCGATCCCGGAGATCCCCGTATTAGGGATCTCAACGCGGAGATTCGGCAACTAGTAAACGTACATAAGCGGAAGAAGTGGGAGGAGCATCTGAAGACCTGTAACTTCGCCTCTGGTGTGAGTAAGCTTTGGTTAACCGTGAGGTCACTGTCCAATCCGACGAAGCACGACGACAGAGTCGAAATTTCTTTCGGCGACCATGCTTCGTCGGACCCGGAGCGATGCGCGAGCTATTTTAGCCGGCAGTTCATACTGCATCCTCCGGTCGACAAAGCCAAGCGTCGAGTGACCAGAAGGCTGCACAAACTGCCAACAACTTGTGCCCCCTTGCTTTCACTTGCGGTGAAGTTCAGGTAGCCATCGGGAAGGCGAAAGCCTCCAAAGCCATGGGTCCCGACGGAATATGCATGCTGATGGTGAAAAATTTGGGTCCTGCGGGGGTAGCGTACCTAACGGAGGTCCTCAACTTGTCCATGGCCACTCTCATCATCCCAGACATCTGGAAGGTGGGGAGAGTGGTCCCACTGCTTAAACCGGGGAAACCCGCCAACATAGGAGATTCTTATCGTCCGATAACACTCCTTTCCCCGGTAGCGAAGACACTCGAGGCCTTGCTACTCCCGTACTTCACAAACCACTTGACCCCAGCGAAGCATCAGCATGGCTTCCGTAAAGTGCACAGTACAACAACGGCACTTAACGCCATAAACACTCAGATAACTCGTGGCCGTAACTGTAAACGTCCCTGTGAGAAAACGATTCTAGTAGCGTTGGATCTGTCAAAGGCTTTTGACACTGTCAGCCATGCCACGCTACTAGAAGATATAGAGGCTTCCTCTCTCCCACAGAGGCTCAAACGGTGGTCGGCAAATTATCTGAGTGGTCGACACTCGTCGGTAATGTTTAGAGACAAATCGAGCAAACTTAGAAAAATAAAACAGGGGGTTCCACAGGGTGGTGTCCTTTCCCCACTACTGTTTAACTTTTACATTTCAAAGCTCCCTCAACCACCAGAGGGAGTCTCGATTGTCTCTTACGCCGACGATTGCTCGATCATGGCGACTGGGAATGGAATTGATGACTTGTGTTCGAAAGTAAACGGATATCTCTCTGACCTTTCTCGCTTCTTCACTGCAAAGTGTCTAGCCCTCTCCCCTACGAAATCCTCTGCGACCCTGTTCACAACCTGGACGAAGGAGGTCAGGCTACCGCTAGGAATTCACGTCGATGACACACCAATTCCGACGGTGAATAATCCTAAAATACTCGGAGTAACATTCGACAGCCTGCTCTCCTCTGCGCACACAACCGCTATTGTCAATAAAGTACAGAGCTGCAACAAGGTCCTCAAGTCGCTAGCCGACAGTACTTGGGGCAAAGACAAAGAAACGTTGCTGGCAACATACAAGGCTATAGGCCGCCCGGTCGTAAACTACGCAGCACCAGTGTGGTCGCCGGGGACTAGTAGGACGCAGTGGACGAAGCTACAGACGGTACAAAATACAGCACTCAGGACAGCGACAGGATGCCTCCTGATGACACCAGAACACCACCTCCACGATGAGGCAAAAATGCTCCCAATTAGGGAGCACAACACGATGCTCTGCAAGCAGTTTCTTGTTGGGAGCCACAGATGTGGCCACCCAAATGGACAGCTGCTTGCAGAGGAGCCCTCGCCGAGGCACGTCAGGAGGCATCTATATGAACTGACGGACAAAGTCCAGAGGTTCATTAAGCAACCTCTGGACCCGTCAGCTCATAGACAGGCCCTGAACGGCATTCACAGGAACGCAGTCTCGAGTTATGTAGACTCAAGACCTGTGAATGCCGTTCTAGGCACACAAACACCGGACATCGACATGACGGACCTCCATCTGCCTCGGGAGACCCAACTTCGCTCTAGCTACTGCAGCAGGCTAAATTCCTACCTGTCTAGGTTAAATGCGGATGTGCCGAACGAATGTCCGGCATGCGGAGAGACCCCACACACTACTCGAAACATCTCTTCGCATGCCCGGAAAACTCCACAACCCTAACGGCGTCGTCCCTATGGACTGACCCCATAGAGGCTGCACGCTTCTTGGGGCTGCCGTTAGTGGATCTCGACGACAACGACTGAGATAGCCGATCTGGGCGGGGTTGTTGTAGCCGCTACAACAACAACAACAACAACAAGTACTTACCCACCACATCTCAGTTCTTGTCAGACTAACGTACCACCCTAATGTCAGTATATTAAAGCTTGTCAAAAAACATTAAACTTGTGCTAAGGAAGTATTTCGATTATTGAACATAGAATTTACCTGAAAATGGAACCAGGCGACCCCTAGATTCGGCCAAAAAAAGTTTTTTTTTTTTCGAAATTTCCTTGCAAAAATATTTTGGACGCGAAAATGTATGGGGTACCTTTAATTTTTTTCCTGTAAGGTGGTGCGGTCCAAACATCAAATAAAGAGCAAATCTTGTATGTATATCAACTCGCGTTTGAAATAATTCTCTTATTATTAAACGAGCCATATGTGATTTGTCAATTGAATTTGTGTTTGTATATACATATAGCTATGATAAAAGGTTCAGCATGTTATTTGACGGGGCATAATCAATTCGAAATTTGATGACTACAGCAATAACTACTGTTCTCGTTATCGTTATTTATAATGATCTTTTCTTTTCGCTCTTTGTTATTGCATCATTACCTTGATAAATACGCTTATTCACTGGCA